CACTAGATGCGATCGATCCAGATTCAACCAATATTCAATTACATTTAGTTTGCAAGGCTGTTATGAATAGTTTAATAACATATGAAAATAAGACAATTACATTACCGTGTAATAAAGAAACACTTGTTTCAAGCATATTAGACCAAGCTTGTTTAGCATTTTGTATTACAAGAGAGGATAATTGCGTCTATACACTATATGCCTTGGATGCTGATCAAACACAAATTGACTCGGCTATGACCGTCAATGATATATGTGGCTTGTTTCCTGAAAAGCAAACAAAAATACCATTGTTAATGAAAAAGAACAGAATGCTGAAGAAACACTAAACAATAATGAGTGATGCTATTAGTTAATTGAATATGCCAACAAATAATTTTGCATGTGTTTGAATTTTAATTGAGTTTTGAAATCTTTCTATAATTCAGCAAGAGAACTTTTATAGCGTGCCGAAGAATAAAAATCGAGTACGTCATCCATGAAAATTAAATGTGGCAGATTAATTGAGGGTGTGGATGTGAATTTCAGGTGTATGTTAGCATACAATCAATCATCTTGAAAAAGTCAGTGTTCAATGATTGATTTATATGACTTTAGAATAATGTCAACGTTTATAACATTTGTGTATAAAGAGAAGCATTTATTTTACCTATTATTCTCGATAATTAACTCTTCGTCGCCGTTCTCATTTTGAAACTTCGTTACTGTTGTGGGGTCCACCTGGACCCACCCATAGAAAATGACANACTGATACTATTGTTTTATCCAAGCTATTCATTTATGTACTATAAACTTCTAAATGCCCTTCTTATAGAGACTGACATGTTAGTTTCCATCGCGGCAATATGAGAGTATACAGTGTCGAAAAAATGTTAACTTCAACTATGTTCATAACAGCACTAAAGTATCATTTAGTAAACCAATAAAAGATTCTAATTTAATACGATCTCATGTTTTTTCCATTGAAGTGAATTGAATTTCATAGTATTAGAACCTTCTCGTCATTTTTTTGAGTTTGTTAAAAATATTGTTTAGCATAGTAATTTGTGTGAAGAATAATTTCATCAAGGATCTCATTCGTAAAAAAAATTTTAAATCATCTAGAATGCTCTGAACTTTAGTAATAGCACCTGGTTTCTTTTTCATTATATTAGCTGCAGATATTCGATCTTGTACTGGAATTGAATGCATAGACCATGTAACACCGACTTTCTCTAATGATAGAAAAGAAAAGAAAAAACACGCACGGCAACTACTTAATATAAGAAGAGAACATACTGAAATTGATTTTGTTTAATTCTTCAGATAAAATAATAATAAAATAAATAGGCGTCTCATTCTTCGCTAAACATAGACGTGTACACATTCTCTCGTCGTCGTAATAAACTCTTATTCATACACACACATTTAACATTTACTGTTCGGAAAAAATGGCGAAAAAACCGGAAGAACCAATCGATCATTTATCCGAAAAAGTAAATCATAAACTGCAATTTGTTTTGAATTATAAATCTTCCCATTTCAGATCGCGCTAGGTCGATTATGTCAAGAAGCGCAAAGAAAAAACATTTGTTGATGAAAACAATGATCAACAGGAAAAGTTGATGATGTTAGTCGATTTTATTAATGAAAATGCTGAAGCTGCATTTGTAATTCAATATAAAAATTACGGTAGGCAGAACATATTTTACTATCACATAATCTAGACTTTTTTTGTAGGGTTTAATAAAGTTTATAATGAAGATTTAGCTAAAGATGTTTGTATTTTTAATAATTTATTCAAATGATTTCATTTAGCTTTTGTTATTAGAATCAATTTCCCATGTCCAAGAAAACGGTGCGTAAACTGCCGTAAACGGCGTAAAAACGGTATAAAACGTTGAAAAACGGCGCCGTTTTCCGTCAGCTTGGAAAACGACGAATATATTGTTAAAAACGGTGGCAGTTTTATAGCCGTTTCAGATCTTTTAAGATGCTCGTTCAGACGGTTGGAATGATTGTCCTGCGAATTGTTCAACAAAATAAATTAAATCTTGAAAAATATGAAAAATGTCTTGATTTTGATAAATCACAACAAATTCTTGAAGAAAATATTGTATTAGTTTGTCAAGAAGCATATGACTATTTAGTTCGTTGGTCGATCAATATTGCAATGAATGATGTAAATATATTTTTTATTTATTTGAAATTCATTAAAAAAACAAATTGTTTTTTTTAGGATTATGTCGGTATGGCACGTGTGAGTAATCAAGCACTTCTTATGGAATTTATTTTGAAATTAATTAAAAATAAGAAAGGCGGTACAATTGAAGAATGTACTAAAGCATTCTTTAGAAGGTTAGATATTTGGTTTTAATTAGAAAATAAACGAAAATTTGACTAGACTTTTAACTGATGGACAATATCGAGAAGATTTTCGCGATGAACATCATATGTTAGAACAACATATTACTAAACGTGCACAACAACAAAATGGAACAGTAGAAGCAGAATGTGACGATGAAGCAAAAGCAAAAAATGATCAAGAAGAGTTTAGAGAAGATGAAAAGGATTAATTTTGTTTTATCTATAAAGTTTAAGTGAATAAACTGATAGTTCTTTATCAAAGATTCTGGATTAATCAAGATCTCTCACTGTAACGATAAACTGGATTGGAGTAGCTTGTGCCACTCTCGGCAAAGATGTTTATTAGGCTACTTCAAGTATCCAGAGTATACCGACAAAACTAGAGAGTGTCGCCTATGCCCGTCGGCATGATGGTGTATTGTGTCATCTGACATCTCTACAGTGTACCCACTTCATACATAACACACGTATATATAGGAGAGAGATAGAAGAGAGACAATAGAGAGATATATTAGAACAATGGAAAGAGAACAGAACGAGAAGGAAGGAGAATCATCGAAGCGTGCCATCAATATCGGCACAGCGAGCTTTATTGGAAACACCCCTCTTTAACTTCTCTTTACTTGGTTTATCTATAGAGAGTAACGTTTCTAATCAATAAGCTGATACTAATATGGCAGAGTCCTCGTTTTCGTCAGCGCTAATATCATGATAGTCTCTATTCACTGTTTCTACTTCTATGAAAGTAATCATCAAAGCTCCGCGTGGGATGGGATGCGATAAATAAATAAAAAATTATCCCGCCATGGGATTGGACTAATAAAAAAAATTTGTCCCACCATGGGAATGGACAAATAAGAAAAAAAGCTCTCCCACCTTGGGATGGGATGGAATGAAACATTTTTCGTCCCATCCCATCCCATCCCATGGGACGTCTGAAATGTCAAATATTTTTTAAGGTGTCAAATTTCTTTGATTATCATCCATCGAGTGAGACTATGAATTATAATATACTTTGAATTTCTGTTCTTTTTGCATATTACAATAATGACATCATCCTAGTTGTAAATGCAGCATTTTACAAAATCGAGAAAAGAAGGGTGTGGGTGTGGGTGTGTTTTGAAGTATACTACGACGCGTTTCGATCTTGCTTAAGGATCTCATCAGGTAGTTCTGTCTTTTGTAACTATTCGAATGATTCTGATTAGAATGACAAACAAGTTACTTGATCCAAAGTTTCATTTTGATTATCATGAAGAAAATTCAAAACAATTTTAGATGTTGTTAAATAGGGTGTGTTTTTAAATTTAGCAGCCATGACCTGTTTTGTCCTTGCTTAAGGGACTCATGACATGGCTTCATCCTTGTAACTGTTCCATGATTCAAAGAACAGAGGACATCTTTTACTGTACATTGCTACGGAGAGGATTTCATGATTCGTAATTGATTGAGGATGGGTTTGAGGATGAGCTGTTGATATTTATTTGATTTTGGAAATTGTATTTATATGCATGGCGTGTGGGAATGAAGGATGATACAATAGTTGGTGCCTCTTGGCGTCTCTGATGAGTGGCGGTTTTTGTGTTTTTCTTAAATTTGTTTTGTGACATTGAAATTCTCCTGTTTTCACTTTGTCTATCGACTCGATCGAATAGTTGATTCGGAAATGTGATTGAGGGGATGATTTTGAGGTTAATCGTTTTTGGTAATTATTTATGTATACTTTCCTGACTGTGCTGCTACGGATGCAGCTAATATGGTAATTATAGTGGATGTGGTTTTTACAAGGTAGATTGTTTACGATCTGGTATTACTTTTCATTTTTTCTTTCAATAGAGAGATGTTTATTTTTATTTTTTAATAAGAGTACAGAATGTGAAATATACTAAGTTATTGACTTGTTTGATTGGATTGAATATTCGCTGTTTGTTCATCCGTCTCAGGTTGCGTTTTACCCTGTTTGTCGCTTCTCTCATTCGGAATATGTTTGATCATCTTCGTCATCAATTCTTGTTTTAAGTTGTGATTCAGATAAGTTCCAATGATCAG